GACTCGATGTGAGTTAGAATAAGTTGCAACAACTCATTGTGAGTTTTGATGTATTGTTTGTAGTGAGACCGATTCTCCGATAGTGTAATGCTGAGGTTTCCTTCCGCAATCAAGTGGTGACGACGCTCTTTTTGGTGTTGGGAGGTTGTTGAGCAGCATTGTCATTCCTCTTGGTGCTTCCAATCCCTTGTTTGCTACAAGGTTGTGTTTTGTGTCGCGTCTCAATCTCAATGAGCCATGCTCTCTACCCTTCGAGGTTTTGGGAATCAGGCTTATCTTTATCTACTGTGTAAACACCTTTTATTTTGACCTCCTTACCCAGGAGGGTTTTCTCCTATGCAAATGGAAGATCCATTTCACTTTCACATAGTTAAAAAACAAACAAAGATTTAAAGACGACACAAAAAGGTAGGCTTTGAGCCTCATCTAACCTAAAGGCTACAAGTGAAAGTTTTAAGCTAGCTCGTTACCTTATTCAGTTTTGCAGGCTTTAAAACCCATGCAGCAACTTCAACCACACAAGACCCAACACAAAATAAAGGAAAAATAGTACATGCGGTCCCATTTTGATGATGAGCTATCTGTTGTCGGTCCATGGAAAAAGTTATTACCATATAAAACTAGTTTTTATTTTGTCATATTTTAGCCTAAGATCGAAATAAACTAAAGTTTTCAAACAAGGAGATTTGACTGCCTTGTAATGCTTTAATGGCCCCTATACTCCTATGCTACATATGTCCAGGCTTTGCATTAGAATTCTGCTGCCATGTTTTATAAGAAAATTAATCAGTTTGCACATTATTCTAATTTAATACGTTGCTAGTTTAGATAATATTATTCTAAAATATATATACAAATCATACTTAAACCCTAATGATATCTCTTCGTATCAATATGAGATTCTGAGAAGTGCAACTATATAGTCCCATTATTTGTTACAAAGGGAGGAAAACATGGTCAATATTATTATTATTATTTAATATAAGCGATAGTCTAAATTACATGGGAGAGAGATTTCTCACATACACACAACTACGATGTCGTGGGGATTCGAATATGAAACCTCTAAACTACACCTCATTAGTGAAAACATGGTCAATATAATAGATGATTTTATATTGCATGATTCAATGATTTTCTCATTAAATAGCAAGAGAGAGGATCTTCCATTAAAGAAGGAAAAGAAAATAGAGAGGATTGTTTGTTTCCAAAATTTTGTGTTATATATATATATAAAGCAAAAGGCAGAGAATGGTGAAACATTCAAAATACCAGAAAATGCACTTGATTAATGCAAACATTAAGAATTGAAATTATTAATTAAGTGAGGATAATATGGTAAATTTACACTTTTTTATATTAAAAAAATTTAAAATTAAAAGAAAAATCAGATAATGGATCCTCTTTTTATGGAACACAACTACCCATTATCTTTTTTAATTCTAAAATAAATATAAATTTTTTTAAAAAAAACCTCTCGCATGTGCGGAAGCGCATGCAGAGAGGCTAGTGTAGGTAAAGAATAAAAGTCACAATATCACAAGTCACACTTCAATAACTAGGTTCATAGTAAAATGCTACTTCAAGCACAAATAGTAAGTTTCACATAAGAAGTTCAGATGTACCAACTACGAAAATTTTAATGAACAAAAATCTTTTGTACAAATATCATGACTCTCACTTCAATTGATAAAGTATCTTTGTACTTAAAACTGGCAAAATGCTATTTCGAGCACAAATAATATATTCGCTTACGGATCTCATTTGTGAAAATAATGAAAGTTACAATGAAGAAAATACTTATTATAGCTAGCTAGGAAATATATAAATTGATGCGTGACAACCTTTTTTTCCAGTTTTGAGTGAAGAACAATTCTTACATACTACAAGTGTATACAATCTCATTGTCACAACCAATGTCTTAAATATTGGAGGTATCGGATCAAACAATCGATATTGGAGAAAGGAAAAATCGAACTTACGTCCTCAGGTGCAGCATGTTCGTATTATATATCACTTAATTTTTTTTGATACAATAGATATTAGGAGAAGGGAGAATCGAACTTATAACCTTAAATGCATCAAGTTCTTACTGTATATCACTTAATCATTTTTGATACAATCTATTTAAGTAAATGAGAAATCGAACCTAAAACATCAAGTGCAAGTGTAAATGATCGTAGTCACTTAAACTACAAAGTCTCTTATGCATTTATTTCGAGCATGTGAGAGTTCTTCAAAAAAATCAAACTATCGCTATTCAAATAATAAATTTACACCAACTAAATGTGTAATTCAATTTATAATTTAACAATATAATTATTATTTTAATCACAGTTGATTGAGTAATGGCTCATCGAGTTGACTGGTTGGTACCAAAAAGTATCAATCCACCCACTCGAGGCTCATCATTAACTCTGAATAACTGGGTTTAATTCGCAATGTATGAACAAAAAACAAGCCTTGTTGTACTTGATACTCTTTTAAAAAAAAAACCCCCAAAAAAAATAGAAGAAAAAAATACAGACGTTGATGAGTGTGAAAAATACCACTGAACGCCTGAAAGTGGTCAGCTCGATCACAGTTTTAGATCTGACAGTATGAACTTCACTTCACTCATTGGTGCAAGTATATATAACTGTAAACACAAGTTTGGTTTTAGTCATATAAAAAAACACAAAAGTGGATGATTCTTTTCTTTCTTTAATTTCTGGGAAATTTAAAAGTAATAATGTACGAAAGAAATATATAAATTTGTGGAGCATTTTGTCAAAGGGCTAGGAGGCTATGAATAGAAGTAGGTGCCAATGGTGTTGGAACTGAGTTGTCATGTCACCTGCAGTAAATAGTGGTTGGTCAAATCAAATCCAACACGTTAAAACAGAAAAAGAGGAGGAGGAGGAGGAAGACAGCTTGGTTGGGTAAAAGGGAAATGCCCCCAACCCAACCCAACCCACCCCACCGGTTCTACTTTCTGGAATGTTTATGCTCAACCATCTGCCTTCCACTGGTCTTTTCTTTCCCAACTTGTTTCATTGCTTGCTCCCATCTTGTTTACCTCATTGCCATTTGGTCAGCCATTTTTCAACATAAGCGATAGTTTAAATTACAAGACAAGGGAATAAGAGTTTCTTACACACTACTAAGATACTATAAGAGTTCGAAGATGAGATCATTTGCCTACAAGTCAACTTCCCGTTAGCCCCTTTGTCAACTACATAATTGGTTTTCATTCGGTTTGTGTAAATACATTAGGTTTTAGAACATGCTCCTAAGTTCCCTTTATTCTAATACTTTCAAAAGAAAATACCAAAAAGAAAAAAGAGATATTGAGTGAATGGAGATCTCTTTCATGTGTAAAAAGTGTTAGTAAAGGACAAATGCCATAGATGTATGCTATAGTACTTGTAGGGGTTTCAAATCAAATTCTTTTTCCCACTTGGTCTCATTGTATATATATATATTTTTTTTGGTTCTCATATTTTGTCTTATTTTTTTACTTTGATACCCATTGTTCAATTTTGACAATTTCAATAATATAATCTTCTCTCATTATAATCCCGTCCAACTAAGATTATGCATAACGCGTTCCTCTCTTCTTTAGAAGAATATGTTTTACAAGAGAAGGTCACTCTTGACTCGTGTTTGACATATCGTGTTTAAAGTGAATTAAAAACTACTTATTAAGTAAAACACATATCATGTTTTCATAAAATAAAAAATTGTTTTAGATATTTAATACGAAATCCCATTTCATTCCAAGATTTAATTACTTTTTTTTTAAAGACACCTAATAGTTGAATTACTTTTTGATATAAAGAAATTAGTTTAATTTCCACTCCTTATATTATAAGTAAAAGTAAATACATAACAAATGCCAATTAATGTAGGTAGGGGGAACTGCGTCTGCGGAGCCCACTTGTGTGCCCTCTTTACCAGACTTGAGTGGCTTCATTTTCAATCCCCTCCTTAGCTAATTCATTTAATTCCTAATATATTATTATAGATTTCATTCTTTGAATAATGATGAAAATAATAAGTAAAACAAGAGAAAATTAGACAAGTTTCTTAGTTGAGTTGAGTTTAGTTATAGAAAAGAAAAGAGAAATGTAGAACTCATACACAATTGACAATACGAAGGATGTTCTGCAATATACATTCTGACATGTTAATATTAACAAAAATAATTTTTTTATTTATGGAACTTAAAATTTTAAAGCGCGGACATTGTTGGATTGAGAAATTTGATAAAGAAATTTTGGATCTGGTAACAATACTAAAATTGCTACAAAATACGAACAAAAAAATAGTTAGATTCGTAACAACTTGTTATTTTTGGCATAATAAAGAAAACATGAACGAAGATTAACTTACATTTAAAAAACGACTATATGCAATGCATCATTTGAAATCAATATATTTATTTTCTTTTTTCTTGTTTAAATGTTCGCATATGTGAATTGTGGAAATCTAAACAAATAGTTTTGCCATTTTAAATCCCTAAATTTGGAATTAATGCATCCAACTCAACCTTAATGTTTTGACAACAATCCATAATAATATAATATCATACTGGAACTAGTGAAGAAAAGAATATTAGCCTTGAAAGCTGAGTGATAAAGCCTGAGCTAGGCTGCAATGTCGGCTTGACTCTCTCTCTCTCTTATTATATCATGCATATGCCTCTAGGGTCTTGGGTTTAGATTAGGCTAGCTTGATTAAATAAATGGAAAAAGAGATTAAGCCTAATAAAAACACACTTCTGCTATTTCCAAAGCAAAGCAGAGAGACAGAGAAACTGCAGGTTCTTTCCTCTCTCTCTCTCTCTCTCTCTCTAGCTCTAGCTATCTATTTGTTGCAGTTTTTTAAAGCTCTTTTTTTAATTATTAGTTTTCCCTCAACTGTCTTGTCTAAGTGTCTTTTTCTCAAGTGCCTCAGGCTTCTTCACTGGCCTTAAACAAACTTTGCAGGCTTTTCTGTCAGAATGTGAGGTATCTGCCAAAGCTATAAAAGAACCCACAGAAGCCTCTGCCTAAAGCTTTCTCAGACTTTCTCTTCACTTAAAACCCAATTCATTTCACACCCAACAAACATATTATTAAAACTCAATCAGAAAAACAAACCAAACTTATTAAACCCCACCTCTCTCTCTCTCTCTCTCTCTCTCTCTCTATATGGACTTTCACCTCAAGCAATGGAGAAACCAGCAGCATGAGTCAGAGGAACAACATTCTGCAAAGATACCAAAACTTCACCTAGAGCCCCATCCACACTCAGAGCCATCTGGGTATGCTCTCCCTCTGTTTGTTCCTGAGCCCAACAGCAAAATGATCAGCACCCTGTCAGCGTTTTCTGAATCTACACCAGCATCTGCCTCCACCAGATTTCCCAGTGAGATTTTCTTTTACTTTCCCTTTTCTTTCTTCTTTCTTCCTTCTTTTGTCACAGACACAGCAAACCACAAAGTGTTTTTGATTCTTGGAATTGAAAAGATCATGTCTTTGTTTGGTTTTCTCCCCAAGTTTTCTACTTTAATGTCATCTTAATTTAATTCTTGTTCCTCTGCTTTTTTTTGTCTGTTTTCTAGAAATGGGGAGCTATTTCAGCTTCTCCCAGTTGCAGGAGCTTGAGCTGCAGGCTTTGATATTCAGGTACATGTTAGCTGGTGCTGCTGTTCCTCCTGAACTTCTTCAGCCAATCAGGAAAAGCCTTCTCCACTCTCCTCCATATTTCCTCCACCACCCTCTTCAACAGTACCCTCATTTTCAGCCTGCTTGTAAGTATTTACCTCAACATGAGTAAATCAATCATTGTAGCAAATTTTGACTCTGATCTTTAACAAATAGTACCTCTTTTAAATTGCCCATTTGACATATTTGTACAAGTAATGTGTTAAGACTAGGACTGAGATTTGTTCTGCCTACTTTGAAGGACCAAATGTCACATAAATGTTATTTTCACTAATTGGTACATATATATATTTATGCAACCTAAGATTTTGAGTCACTTAAGCTTGAACATTAATCGATAAGGATAATGATTTTTGCACTCCTCTTTTCTCTTTTTAACCGGATGCACTCCAAACTGAATATTTTACAAATTTCTCTGCACTCGCGACGCAGCGACATAAGTGCAGAGGATAAAAATTGTGCTAAAAGAATCACTAGCTAGTCATGGTATTGATAATTATGTGCTGCATTATCCAGTGTTGCAATCAGGGTATTGGGGAAGAGCAGCCATGGATCCAGAGCCAACAAGGTGTAGAAGGACAGATGGCAAGAAATGGAGGTGTTCTAGAGATGTGGTGGCTGGTCAGAAGTACTGTGAGCGCCATGTGCACCGTGGCAGAAACCGTTCAAGAAAGCCTGTGGAAGCCACCACTGCTACTGCTGGTGGTGGTGGTGGAGGGACTAGTGATATTGCTACCAACACCACCACCAAGACATCATCTGGTGGGGCCCATTTTACTCTTTCTGGGTCATCATCATCCCCTTCAATTGATCTGCTTCATCTCAACCAGAGGTGAAAAAAGAACTAATAACCAAAGCTTTTTGGGTTTATTTTATTTGGATTTATTGATTAAACTATGCTAGAGATTTGCTTTTGGACATGTTTATTGGGTTTATTATGTGGAAATTGATTATAGGGGTTGATCCTCAACTGGTATGATTGACCAGAAAAATGAAATTGAAATTAATAGCACTCAAAGCAACCATTTAATTAGGTGATGTGTTTTCCTGAGGCCCTCCCCCCCCTTTTCCCTTGTCTTTTTTGTTGATGTTTTAGAGACATGAAACTTTGAAAATGAGAGAATCTCATGGGCCCTATTGTAGGCATGCTCCCTACTTTGAAGTACAGGATCTTAATATAAAGGCAAGGTTAATAATGTCTCAAATCTGACAAAGAAAAGAGCTTTAGCCTGTGTAGAGAGCCATGCCCTGAATAATTTCTTGAGCTATTGCCCATGCTCTTGTAGTCTTGCAACCTTTTCTTTGTTATTTGTGCCATTTGGGCAAATTGTTCTTATTGGTATTTCTTGCTCTTACATGCTCCTCTCTCATGTCGCATGTAGTTCCTCAGAGTCCAAAGCTGAGAACATGAGCCTCTTTGAACACCGCAGTGAGGTCTCCGGGAGCACTAAATCCGACAGCCATGTCTTGCGGCCTTTTTTTGATGACTGGCCGGGGAAGCTCCAAGAACTGGACAATGCACGAAACAATGCTGGCTCAATGAACTCTGCCACCAGCCTCTCCATTTCGATAAGGGGAAATTCCTCCTCGGATGTGTCACTGAAATTGTCTACCGGCAATGGAGTCGAGACAGGGCTCCAGGACGGCCATGCTGAGCGCGAGCAGCCACAATTGAATTGGCCTGCCGGATGGGGAACAAACCAAATGGCTTCCATGGGAGGGCCGCTTGCGGAGGCCCTTAGGTCCTCCTCCAACTCCAATTCCTCACCAACCAGTGTTCTACATCAGTTGCCCCGCAGCTCCGCCTCGGAAACTAGCTTTATCAGCACTTGAATATCACCACATCAGAGTCCCAGCGAGCTTCTCTTAGTTGCTTGTGTAAATTGCTCGCATTATTTTTCTTAACTGGATGAGTTCTGTGGATGTTTAACGATGAACAACTTTGTTGCTTATTTTTTTAAATGTGCGATTGCAAATTACTTTGGTTAGTTCTGACCTAGAATTTCAGTAGAACATATTTTGAAAGTAAATAACAATTTGAGCATGAAAGATTGAAGACCCATCATAAGAACAAAATTTTGGTGAGTGCCAGATGTTAGGTAACTTACATAAAATTAAAACGTAACACAAAATTCAGCTACGCGGCTATCTATACATGGAAAATCTCTAGCTTTGTCATCCACAGAGATTAACTTTGGAAAATAATTACACAAGAAATTGTCACAAACTGCCACATTAGTCTACGTTATAGGCCAAGTAGGGACTGGTCGTCTGAACTCTGCTTAAATTCTCTCGATTTAGCAGTTTATGTTTTGCGTTTTGCTTTGTCAACCTCTGATTCTTCTGACTTTGGGTTTCTCATTACGGCCTAAGGTGGCAAGATAGTTCAACATGGACTGCACTTTTATTGGCCAATGTACAGGGCGTCTGCCTTAGGAGTGCAGCAAGATGTAGACATTCTCAGCACCAGATGTATATTAGAATCAAAATCAGTCTTTAGCAGGTCCCGCTACGAGAGCATAGACCACAGCTGTTCTACAAGGTGCATATAGCAGGAAAGAATGAGGCCGGTCATCAAACCACCCATCCTGCAGATCACAATGAGGGTTTAGCATCCAGAAGTCTGTATATGATAGCACTAGAATGAAGCGCATAGATTCAGTTACTTATCAAACGAAAATTTCTTACAGTCGTGAAGTACTCAGCAGTGTGATTAATCCTATTGAAGCCTCCAAATAATTTTTCATCTGAATCCAAGACAATCTGCAACAAGGAACACAGCAAACAATATCAAGATGCTGAAAAGATTTCATCAATGCTTGAAAGGAAATGTGAAAGCACGGAAAGAACTAGTGTATTTGGCAAGCCAACCGAGTTTATAATATAATTTTATAGGGGATATACCTTATACTTCCCTGGCTTTAAGCAGCCAATTCGGTAGTCTGAATAGCTTTTACTCCAATGAAAATTGAAGACAAACACCAGGTTTCCCCTTTCAAAGACAATAACCCTATCTCCTTCATCCTTCCGTGATATATATTGGTGCTCAGAAGTCATGAACTGCATCAACAGTTGACCAATTTTCATACTAGAATTTATCAGATCACAAGTGGCATAAGTAGTATGTGTCTGCCACAACTGCAAGTTTCACATAACTGATGGAGAAGAATATTTTAAATCTAAACGGAAATATAATCATATAAGGCAATCAAGCAAACCGTTATTACTAATCATATAAAGGGTGATCTTAAACTTTGACTACCATCATTGATTATTAGTTTGTATGAGACATGCTAAAGGAATAGGATCCTATAGTTATATTTTCTGTTCTGATATTGTGCTTATACCTAAAATGACGTCTGTTTTAAAGTTTCTAGAATTAAGCACTTCGAGTATAGGGTTTGGATGCCAGAGCTTTAACATCCGATTTCCAAGAGAGAGAATAGTAACAGGTTGCAGATGCATTTCTTGTCTTGCATTTTACTATTCCCTGAACTATAAGGAGGCATGAGAAGAGAAGAAGAAAGCCAGAAAAACTGTAGTTTTTCCTGCAGGTTAATCGAAGGAGAACCAGGGTGACTCTTTTCTGCAAGATCTGTGAGTACACTAATAAAATTGTGCCTTAACAATTCAAAAGCTACTGAAAAATAATTACAAGAAATCAACAGAGTTTTAAATCCATAAAAAATAGAAATAAATATATGTCATTCAGTAATCCATGCCCTAAGAAACCGGCACATATAGATGTTATAGCAAAACTTACACAATAGGTTTCTTCAAGATGCTGCATTGCTTGATCAAATTCTTGCAGCCCATGATATCTTAGATAATTTGCATCCCCCTGACCATGCAGAACCAAAAAAATTCATAAAAAGTACAATGTAATCAGAGGCATGATGGTTACAGAGACTTCATTTGTTGCAAGGTCAACATACCCTTAAAGAACCAGGAATTTTATAAAGGATATGCAAAGTTTGTAATAGTTCAAGAACTTCATGTGCAGCACAAATGGCAAAGAGATGGAAATGGGCTGGATCCATGCCTAAGGCGCATGAACAATTATCAAAGAGGAAGCCCTATGGGCATCAAAAAATTCGAAAGCGTGTTAATTGAGGATATTCTTACTAAAAGAATTGAGAGGGTCCGTGAGTTGAGAAATGAGAAGTACAAGAGAGATCAAGTTGCTATTAGGTTACTTTTTTAATAGTGTGTCTCATATTATATCTTGGCTTTGGCTCGTAATTTGCTAGTAATAACAATGTCAAGATCAAATATATCTTGATCTTTTTAATAGCACAAATATGTTATTAGGTTACTAATCAAATTGACTTTGGCTGGTAATTTTATATTTCCTTTACAATTAGCATTTGATTGTAATTACTATGCCTCCACATATCATGCATTGCTTCACTTAGTCACCATCAGAACTAAACACCCTTCTTGTTACATAATTAACCAAAAATTTGCTCCACAAAAGTGAAACATCTGATAGGCATACTGTAATGCATATGGTAATGCACACTTGTATTATAAGAACTTACAAGATCAAATCTACGTCGGCATTTGTCAAAACTGTTATTGTTCCCAGGAACTATTTTTCCATTTGGAAGATGTTGAGCACCTCTTGGAAAATCAATCCACTCTGAACAGAAAAATAAACCAAAGACATGAAACTGAGTGGCAGTTTGATAGAAATGATGATATGCAATATAACCAATTGGCCTAATCTTACCAGGATGTCCAAATTCATTCCCCATGAAGTTCAGATATCCTTCTCCGCCCAATCCCATAGTAATAAGCCTAATCATTTTATGTAACGCTATTCCACGATCTACACGGGGAGTAGCTGGCCTGTCCAGAGCCATGAAATCATACATATCCTGAGAGAAGCGTATACTATTAGATGAATAATTCTAATATAAGAAACAAAACTACACAATTGTTGTAATCATACTTCAAAAGTAATAACAATAGCTAAAAAATTTCCAACATTTCTTATGCTTGCATGCATAAATAGATATATAACAGGTGAATTTGAATACAGACCAGAGTTACCAGGATAGTGGCACATTTGGGTTCATGGTATGGGAACATGAATGATATTCATTTATCAATTACTTCAAATAATAAGAACAAGTAAATATTTCCAGATGCGTGTCTTCAGAATACTAATCACAAGAGCAGTTTCCTTAGAACAAAGGTCCAAATTCATTTTCAATATCTTGCTTCATTAGAGCCAAACAAAATCACCGCACAGGATGGAAACCTATCAATAATCACCAAAACAATACAACCTCTTTTTTTCATTTTCTTTTCCTAACAATTATAAACTCCTTAGGATCATATATCTCATATAACAATCATTAAGTTTATCAACAGTTACTGAGGAATACATGTTTCTGGTAATAAAAGAGGTTTGAAATTATGCACATACAAAAGAGTTCGCAACTTCATCAAGTGTTGTTGCCGACCAGTTAATAATATATAGTAACCAATTTATCAAAATGGGGACTGAACAGAGAGAATGTATTTGAAACAAATTCAACTGGGTATGTGCACCAAAAAACATTAGCATGTTGTTCAATCTTTTCATGTGTATGAGCCCTTAAAGTTGTGTGATATGCAAAAATGCAACTTATATAACCTTGTCCATCAACCAGAACGCAATTGTTTTGTCACCAACAAGAGCTTGGTCATGACTTTCAGCATAAGCAACACACTTTTCCCGCCACCTTCTGTTGGTGAGTGTGTGAACAATATCACCCATTTGCCACTCTTCATCCATTTTCCTACATAAAATTTAGTGTAACAATATGGCAACAAAATATTATTGGTTTTATTCACGAATGCCACCCACAACAGAGATAGATACAAGATCCTCTAACTTCAAAATGGAGCAGAGATTTGTTTATTTATTTATGACAACTTACTGGAGGAGCTCAATCCATTTATCAGCAATAGCCATATGCAGGCGATAATCAAATCCAACACCACCATCTTGTACAGAAACACAGAATGTTGGCATTCCACTAACCTGTAATGATAGAAATATGCATAAGAAATATAACAGTCTATAAATAGGGCATTTTGATCATCAATATTTTAAAACCAGTTGGACAGGATTTATTATACTTGAATTTTACAATCAGTTGATGAGTATACAACACTGCCAATATTTATGGCTGTTGTTTCTATGCATAAGTCAGTAAGCTCCTCTACAAAACCTTCCTCAAACTTGAAGGGTCAATTTCGTTTATAACCCAAATCGGGCTGTAATTTATTTTTTCTTCTGTTTAAATGGAGATTAAAATGCTCATCTGAATAGAAATAACGGTAACAACACAGGAAATTCTATGTGTTAAATATCAGGCGGAAAATAAAAAACTTACGAAAAAAGAATGTAACATAGAGGTAAAGCCTTTTATTTTTCTTATTTCAAGATACCAAACCCAGTAAACAGGTTATTTTCAGTTCTGTGCACTATGAAATCTAAATTTATTACTGAATAACATATAATTGCCAACAGAAAGGATGCTCAACATTACTTCTGAAAGGGAATAGATAACATACATCTTCACCAATGCTAACAGCTTCAGGGTAGAGCCCACGAATCAAATCGTTAACCAGCATCAAGTAAGTCACAGCATCTACATCCGTTGCTAATCCAAAGTACTCACTGTAATTCCCCGTAAATGCTACCTACAGCAGCTCGACCGACAAACAAATAAGTATAAGAACCTGTCATAACTTGAACCATAGTAACATACGTAGCAATCGTAGTGAAAAAATATAAATTATTATCTTAACATGGAAGAAAATAGCATGGGCATCTTCTATAACTTTCTTATACAGAAAGGCTCTTGTGAGATCTTGGAACATTAAAGATATATCAACTCAACTGAGCTAATCCTTTATCCTAAAAAGTAAGTATCAAAGACACAAGTAATACATCAAAAGCTTATTTAATACCAACACATTG